GAATTAAATTAAATCGATTTAGGCTATAATAAGTATTTCTTCCTAGGGTTTTTTTTTTCCTGGATTGAATTTTCTCTCTGTACCGCCACCCCACCTTCCGTTGAGCCTTCACTTGGCCCACCTAGGGTAACTTCTCTAAATTTGGGAGAATTGTACTCAGTACCTGGAAATACTGAATACCAGCCCTACACCAACCTACAAGACACTAGGAAAGGGGTATCGTAGAGAACCATTCATAATTCAATTTCTTGATTAATAAAGAAAATAGTTCCAGTTATTTCGCATTAATACACTATCTTTAATTTAATTATTTCTTTCTGATACTCAAGTTAATTTTTTTTCTATTCATTTAATTTTTTTTTTAAAGTTTACCCAATCCATTTAATTTTAACTTTTTTTTTTTTAATTGAAAGAGTACCTAATTGAAACTTTAGGTACTTCGCTGTAATCAATTAATTAATTATTTAATTATTTCACATAGAAGCAAGCTCTTGTAGTAGGTTAATATTTAACCATGAGCATATTGTTGACTTTGTGATGAGTCTGCTTTAACTATATAAATATAAAAATAATTTACCATTTAGGTTTTAATGGTACGACTACTTTTCAGTAGTTCCCATAAGGGTTGAATAAGGTTATTATATTGGTATTTCTGTAAACTTGACGTGATCACGTGAGGGTAAGAATTTTGACAGACTTGTTTATTTTATTTTTTTCAGGTACCTACTTAATTATTAATATGATTCAATTATTGAATTTATATATATAATTATATATATCACAAGGTAAATAGCTATTCACTTATTTACACTCGATTGCAGCAAGACTTTTCACTGAATCAGTGTAAGCTTTATGCTTCGTTGAACTATTTAGTATTCAAGTGTTTGCTTCTTTGCTATAGACCGGTATAAGTTTTAAATTTCAACCTTCAATTTGGTATTTTGCCCATGGCCTAATTGGTAAACTTTATGTTATGACAATTAACTAAATTTTTACATATAGTGTTTTTTTTTACTTTAACATTATTTAATCCACTGAAACCTGAACCATAACCTGTTATTTGTTGTTGTTTAATATACTGTGAGATTTGAAACTGTGAACTTCGGTGTTTTCATTTAGTTCTAGGTACTCAAACCCAACTTGGCCTTGCTAAAATTATTTTATTTTATTTATTTATTTTTATTTTTTTTATTTTATTCTGTTTTCTTTTTTTTCTTGATAATTATTATTATCCAACATTTATTATAAGCGTAGTGCTATAGAGTCCAACAATTATCTTGGGGAACTCTGGCTTGTTCCGTCTTAAGCCAGTGGCGCCCAGAAAATAAAACCCACCCCTACTCACCGAATTTTGAGCTAGGGCATAAATTTGACACGCGCCTGACACTCTCAAGCTCCACACCCCATTATTTTTATTAACTCTTATTAAATTTCAATAAAAGAGAAGCGTGACAATCTTACTATTTATACTATGTACTAAGCTTTAAACCAGCACAATGGATTTTGACAATCTGTGCATGCTGGTCATTAACTTAGAATCAGCTGTACCTTAATATTAAGGCTAGGCTACAAATAAAAATTTATATAGAAACAATTACCTATATAATTATTATAGCTTATGGTAGTTTTATCTAATATTTCAATAAACTTACAATAAGGTTAATATCCAGAGTTCAGTCTTAAATTCGATTTTTTATTTTGTTGAATGAATTGAATTTTCAAATTAGACAGGTAAAGTGTTATGAACTCTGGGGCCAGTATAGCTGATAATGTCGCTGAGTGGCTGTGCCTGACAAAAGCCATTAATAGGCTGTGGTTTGCTGCATATCTTGTGTTCAGGTTATGCAGCAATTCATTTCTGTAGCCCCGATTGGGTTCATGAATCTTAATGGAGATTTTATTTTATTTTATTTTCACTCTCTCCAGTCGCGGCTCGTGGTGTCCAAGTAATGGTGGGCGACAAAAATAAAAAACAGCTATGGGCAATTTTTTTTTAGATTTTCAAGGTCGCGGCCTTTTCAAATATTGTATTAAAGCAAAGATAATCCTACTCCGAAGTAGGATTATCTTTGATTAAAGTTATTTTTTATTTTTTCATTTTCTCTCCAGGGTGGCGGTGCCCACTTTGCCCTTATGGGCGAACCGCCACTGACTCTCTCTGCAACTAGATTTTCTAAAGATGTTGAGTCACGCAGAGGCAATTATTTTTGGGTTAGAGCAGAAGTCATAAACTAATGGCTGGTTTATACAACATTTGCATAGTCGTAATCATAATCATAGTCTTAGTCATAAGAGTTAAAATAATATTTTCTTATGGAACCGTTTATACACAAATCATAATCATAAGCATAAGCATAAGCATAACTCAAAGTTGGCAACTTTTAACTTTTATGATTATGACTAAGACGAGATCCAAACTGCGCAAGCGCCATTATCAGCTGATACGGAGAAAAACAATTCAAATCTGCTATTTTAGTTCTGTTTGTATTTAAATTGATCTCGAGTCATTCTAGAGTATTTAAAAAAAAGGGTCTCCATCGAGCTTCTACATGTCTTTGAATAATGTGGCAAAATGCCCTTCCTTCTGCCTTTTTTTATTGATGGGACTCACTTTCCACCTTCTTTGTTTATGGTTTGCGTTTGTTGAAGTGTTTATTAGCAAAACTCAAAAATAAATAGGACAGACCTATCACTTGTATGGTTTTCTTTCGCAGAATTTTAATTTCCACACTTTTTGAAACTTTGAAAAAGTATTAAAAGTGAATAGACGAGTTCGATTCGCAAAAAGTAAACAAATTCTCCCTACAAAAAGTCGGGTTAGAGTTGAATTTATTTTATGCTTATGACATTGTATAAACGCCTTCTAAAATTGTGATTATGATTAAGACTAAGACTAAGACTATGATTATGATTACGACTATGCAAATGTTGTATAAACCAGCCATCAGTCATTTCTATTTCTATATTCAATGATAATATACTATGGTCCAGCCAATTTCTTATTTTCGAGACAGTGATTTCCACCCCTCTTATTGCAAAATCCCATGATTCACCCTGAACTATTGTCACAGCCCCTATACGTTTCGTCGTAGGACGTCACAACAGGAGCGGACCTGGGGGCGTAGGTGGGGTTTAGGTGGAGAAAGACTCGCTTGGTATAGGCATAATAAGATATATATGGTATTGATAAAATAGAATAATGTTACCCTAATAATAATAACATGTCTCTTCTACGGAGCCCGTACTACTTACGCTACTCTGTAGACTGTAGATTATGTACACTCTGTACACTTGGCGTGATTGAAGACTGAAGCTGGGTTTGAGACAGGTCCAGAAGGTTGTTTCCCAATAAAGGTAGTTTGCACTGGGTGGAGACTTAGCTACAGGGGCTTTTCCCAATTAAGGTACTTTGCACTAACCTCAGTCTGCCGGTAATGGATCTCGGCGCGGTATTTATACCAAATTAATGCTGACTCGTCGACACACTTTGATAAAATTGATGTAGGTACAGAGTAGTATATACTTAAGTAGTTGACACTATTATCAGCAAATCATAATACTGTCCCCTCATCAACAATAATTGACAAAATGCTATTTATGTAAACATTGAATAATAATGGACTCAATCGACGATCAAGGACTGCGTGACGTCACTCGCATTCCTCCATGCTCGATATTTTTATGAACCTATGTCTTATGGGATTGAGCAATCCTGTAGAGTTTACGATTCTTGATGGTTACCGATGTCGGCATGTTTCAAATCAATGCAAGTGGTTAATTCGACGTAGGTACCTAGCTCTGGTTGGTTTGAGACGACATTATCCCGACGTCCAAACCCTATTTGCGGGTGAACGGTGAACGTTAACGAAGACGGAAGTCACCACTTTTTATTAATATGAAAATATGACCTGAAAATCGTTATGGACGTAATAAATTTTATTTGCGCCGTTATGAAGATATTGTGATGGACATAAAACGTATTTATCAAAATCATATTAATCAATTACATTTTCGATTTTTTGTACTTTCTATTTTGTCGAATATTTTTAGGCGAAAGAAATCTTATACTGTCATGGAATGGAAATGATGCGTATATTGGGAATCAAGTTCTAGGAGTCCTTGAAAATATTATATTTAAAGGCTTTACTAAGAAGACAAGAAATTGAAAGACCTATTTTGGGATTGTTAAAAATTGATTAAAAAATCGTATAACCCAGCAACCCACCCATCTCACGGTGGAATACCTTCTTCTAATCAATTAAAACTAAAATGCAGATATGTAATTGGAAATTATAATAATTCACTATTTAGCGAACTGAAGTGCCATGTTGGGAAAGCGGAGTGCTGAAACTGTTTTGAAATGATGAATTAATGAATACGCCGATCAAAGGAAAATAATTTACGCAAATCCAATAAGCTACTAACTGATATAAATTACATATGCTATCATTTTGTAGATAAGCTCCTTACATTTTAATATCATAGTATTTTAATTATAGCTTACTTTAATATTTATTGAAAAAAAAAATTGAATGATAAAATTAAAATGAAAAAACTTAAACATGAGACTTGGTTTCAGAATAACCAACAAATTATAAGTTTAAAAATAGGTAGTCGCTTTACAAGAATATGGCAAAGCTCGAGAAAAACCTATCACTACGGTCATTCCAGGGTTCAAATTGCCATTTTGCTCTAGAAAGAAAAGGCAAGTTTAGCATCATTTGGCTTACCACGGGATTGTTTCTCTACAATTCGTTTTAAATAGTGAAAATATTTAAAAAAGGTTATCAACCTATTCAAAGCAATTGCGATAAAATGAAAAGTTGGAATGTACATAAATTTTTTTCTCTTTTTATTTTAAATTTATGTAACTATTAAACCTTTCTACTAAAAGTTTGATACCTATATCAAAACATGGGACTATTATCTCTCAAACGTACAAGATTTTGTCACCTTTATCAAAATTTATTAAAATTATTCATAAACTAGGCGACACTTACCCCAGTTGGTGCTAATCCTATCCCCTACAAAGCAAGAAAAATATTTTTTTTATTTTAAATAACTCACTTGCAGCACAATTAAATTTATCTAAAAACAACAAGACACCTAAAACGCTATATCTATATTAGAAATAAAAACTACTGGATTATTTACAGATAAAAAGATTCATGCTCTGATATAATCAATAACTCAAATACTCTAGATGAGTTATATTATTATGTATCTAGTAATTCTATTTTTGGAATTTTGATAGAGAGAGGAGGAAAATTTCGAACAAAAAGGAGTCTTGTTGAAGACATGGTAGCTACAAATCGACAGAATTTAGTTTGGTGGACTAGAGTAATGGAAAGAGAGTTTTGATTTACCGGCAGGCTTAGTAATTTTTACGTTGATAATGACAAAAACTCGAAAAGCTGTTCAAATTTAAATATTGGCTGCTCAACTATTCGTTTAGTCAACTAAGATAGCATTATATGTAATTTTTTTATTTTTTTTAATTTAAACAAAATTTGTTGCAGATACAGAAAGTTCCCTTTTCCCTTGGAACACTTACTATCTTCTAGAATGAAGACGATTATTAATTGATGTTATGAAAAAAAGAAACGAATGTATGACAATAGAAGTAAATGTGGAATACCTACCCTAAAGTGACTTGAAAAATTGGAGTAAAAAAACAGAAATTATTTTGTTGGGGGGGGGGGGGGGGGGAGGAAGAGGAGCAGGTCGAGGAGGAGTAGGTATAAAAGGAGGAGAAAAAAAATGGATAACTGCTTAGTAAAATAAAAATGATTATCATGTTAATAGGCGCGTTCTCGAAATAGAAGGATTTATTGATTTGGTGAAAACAGAAACAAGTCAAAATATGTGAAACAGTAGGTAGATTTTAAAAATTTTCAAAAAGTCCAAAATATGAATTATGACCGCAAAACGATATTTCTCACTAACCCAAAACTTCTTTATTTTCACGAAAAAAATAGTTTTTTTTTTTTTTCAAATGTTGGGTGAAAATTGGATTTTTCATCAAGATATCTGATGCGTTAGCGTTATAACATACATAATTTCTACCTATACAGGGTGTCCCACAATCAGCGTTACAGGCCATAACTTTCCTATTTTTAGAAATAAGTATTTGAAAAAAAAAAGTTTAATGGCAAGGTAAGCTCTCTTCAAAAATATAAACAAATCTTTTTCCGACAAAATCATCCCCTAAATGTTACCCTTGACTTTTTTTTTCAAATGACACCCCTATTTATTTTTGAGAAGCTCATGAAATTACAAATTCAATGGTATATGTATAAAAAGTTTGTTTTTTCATCTCTTGGGGGAAAAAGAGATGGGTGTCCCACAATTAGCTTTATACAGGCAATAATTTTTTTTATCTACAAAGATACAAATATGACAAAAAAAAATTAATTGTGTGCAAATTAACCGATTTTCAAAAATATTTAAAAAATCTTCCCTAACAAACTCATCCCCTAAAAACAACTCTTGCGTTTTTTTTTTCAAATAGAACCCCATTATTAATATTTTCATTTTTGATTTTTTTTTTCCAACGAAACATGGAAAAACAAACTTTTTATACTTACATCATTGAATTTGCAATTTGCTGAGCTCCTCAAAAATAAAAAATAAATAGTAGGGGTGCCATTTGAAAAAAAAAAAAAAATCAAGGGTCGTAAATAGGGGATGTTTTGTCAGGGATTTTTTTTTTCATATTTTTGAAGAGAGCTTAACTAGCCATTAATTGTTTTTTTTTTTGTTTCAGATTTTTATTTCTGAAAATAAGAAAGTTATGGCCTGTAACACTGATTGTGGGACACCCTGTATAGTTTTTTATACCTTTGACACGGCAAACGTACTCAAAAACAGGTTTAAAAATAATTTTGGAGAATCAGAAACGCTTTTGGATAATAAACCCCATTATGTTTTAAGTCAAAAGTTGTACCCTTTGCTTAACAATATTCAATTGCTCACTTGTTCTAGCGAAACAATTAAACTTTGATTTTTTAACATGAGATTCATGCCACAATATATGCAAATTATATGCCACTATATTTAGAAAAAAAAAATAAAAATTCAGTAAGTAGGTACATCTACCTATGTTGAACACAAAATTCCGCATTTTTTTGTTTGTTGGTACTTCTTATAAGGGGAAAGTTTTGTGCAACTTCTTGGTTTCTATCTGTTTAAATTTATTTTACATTATGGCTTGTTGCTTGGGGTATTATAGTATTCTTCCATCGCATCAATGCATTTTTGCAAGCAGTCTATAATACGAATTTATATATTCTAACGGGTCATAACGGCCTGTCAGTCGGTGCAGAGATAACAAATATACCAACTGACATGTTCTGTAATTGAGTTCTGGCATGTGCACTTTTAGAGAAAGATAAAAATCATGCTTGCAAATACCAGTCTCCTCGCTTTCTATAAAATCAATAAATGTATTTTCTGATAAGTTTTTTTTTATTCTTCTTTATGTTCACATTGGGTCCTGGGTCCATGACAATTATGACATCAGTACGCTTAAAAATAATAAGATATATTTTAAAAAGTTAAACTGGTCTAACAACTAATGAGTTTTTAACCGCAGTTTATGGTTTTTATCCTTACAACAAGCCGTTTATGCTTTATATTTCTATTCATTTAACAGCAGGCATTCTGCCATTTTTATGTAACTACAGGTTGGTTTAGTTATTCTTTGGTTACAGTGCCGAATCCAGCCTTTCCTCCGATTCGAGGGGGAGGGTCATCAGAGGCGCGGATGATAGAAGATACAGAAAAATCGAAGTGAAATGGAGAGCAAGCTTAATGGTAAAAAGAATTGTAGTATAATAATTTTATGATTCAATAGGTTTGTTCCAACCCGTCAAAAAACCGTCCCAGAACGGTTTCGGAACCACTCTGTATACGAATCTCGGTTTCTACGCAAAAATTTTAGGTTTTGCGCAGAATCCTGACGGTAGTATTACGGTTTCCTGCTGGGTTAAAACAAAGCTAATGCTAATATTTTCGTCGCGATTTTCGGCTCATTATAATCATTTCTACTTATGCAACATCGCAGATAAGTGAGACTACTCTCACGAAAATAATTCAACACATGAAAATCACCACAGAACTAGCCCTATAATATCACTCCGTACCACTCAAATCAAGCTTAAAGGGGGTGTGCGCCAAAAAAACAACTTCATCTCAAAAAAAAGAGAAAAAAAATCTAAGAATAACAGTGAAATCCGCACCCCTCTATGACAAATAATACCGCAGATATGGCTCTATGAAGGTACCGCATCTCACCCTATGACGTCACGAAAGCTCAAGCGACGCACGAGAAAGTGGATTTAATTAAATTTACATAATGTTTTTCCTGTGTTACCTACAATAATCTAAACAAAAACCACTCACGCGTGCCGGGAACAATCAAATTAACAATGCAGAGCGCCGCTGGACGAAGTTTTCGTGACGTCACGAGAGCGTCGTCCACACTTTAAAGCGGTATATCTCAGCGATGGTTTATCGTAGAATAACGGGGTTTGAACAGTTATTCTTAGATTTTTTTACACTAAAACTTTAATTTTTGGCGCACACCCCCTTTAACTAATCTCGAAACTATATCACTATCAATTAACTATCCGATTATCGACTCGTTCAAGTTACTGTTCGATTGACAACTCACTCGCAGCAGCTCCACAGCCTTCTTTCAGTCGCAAACATCACCTACAGTTTCTACCAATATCTCCTCTTCTTTGCCTTAAGTGGCACCCACAATTTGTTTCTTTGTTCCTGGTCTCGGATATCCTTAGTTTTGCTTCTACTATATAAAGAGGTATTTTTGGCAGCCTCATACTTGAGGGCATAGACAACGGTTTCGGCTAGGGTGGTGCCTATTCATTTTCAATACTTGCTGCAGGTCTATATCTTTAACTCCATCAATGATGTAGGTAATGGATATTTATTTGTTCAATAGGGTCTTCGGGAGCCTATGGATATGCCAACCTGACCATTCTTCCGATGTCATTGTTAAATTACTGCAGTTTCTGATTGACCTTGAACTCTTTCAGCTGGCTGTGATACACTTGACTACTAGCGCTTTCGGTTTTTGCCTCAAAACTGCACCTAATTGATCAAAAAGCGTTCCGAAACGGATTCACGTGTTCAGCTTAAAACGGAGCGTTGCTCTCGGCAAGATTCACGTGTGCGGCTTGAGCAATAGAACGCTGTCGAATATCGCACAGAGCGCTCTTTCTTGCTCCGTCAAATTCGATGGATCGAAGAGTTTGATCGAAACAATAAAGTACGTTCGGCTATTGATTTCAAATGGGGTGTCCTCGATTGGATTATAATCGCTCTCGAAGCACTACGGCCGAGATTTGTGACGTCACCGCCTAGACGGGGAGCGCCAAAAATGATATAAAATATCTGGGTCTTTCCGTACCTACCTCAGCTTTAAGGCACCTACAACAGTTGCATAATCACTTTGTTTCGCCTTAGGAGTATTCGGAAGCGGCAATATCCGTAATCTATCACGCGTAAGGCAATTGTAAACAAATCATTATTATAATTAGGCATTGCGACGACTTGTCAAAACTTTTTCAACATGGCGTCTATTGGCGAGCAGGGTCATTATCCTGTATGAAAGTACAGAATTTAAACCTTTTTAAAGGGCATTGTGTGGTTGTTTTGTGACTGAACTCTATTTATTTTTTATTTTATTGACTCCATAAGTGCTTTTTTCAATTAAGACTGCCACAAACGCATCTTGTAGTTGATTGTGGAAGTCGTTTCAACAAGGTTAGGTTTTTTCAGTGCCCACCGTTTTAGACCGTTCCAAATAAAACATGAAAATCATTCAGTATACCAGTGTCCCTGCATCTAAAGTCAGACTCAAAATACTTGTAAGAATCTAAGCTTTCATAGGCCTTCATTTGCTCATTGCTGTAAAAACTGTGGGTGAAAACTAAATATGCAGCTATATCCATGTGAGTATGTAACTGGCGGAGCTGCTTGGATGGAAGAGTTTCTATAATGCACATTTATTGTAAAAGGGTCCAAATCATTTAAAAGCTTCAATTTTA